TAATAGAGTTATGTAATAATTGATTTATTTGATAAATTTGAAATTTTCTAAAAAAAATTCTTGAATTCAAGGTGATTCTATCTTATAAAGCCTAAGCTGGCCGAGTAATTAAGCCCAAGGAGTATTTTCATACTTAATGACCTAAGCCCATTTGGGTTGGGATCCATTGGCCCAAAACTCGTTAAATGGTCACTTAGAAAGCCCGTTAAAGTAGAAAAAAAATCACCAAGAAAGAAACTTTTAAATTAAATTATTTAAGAAAATTGAAAATATTTTAAATCAAGCAACTTGAAAATTATTTAAAACAAAGAGTTAGCATGTTCTTTTCAAAACTTTTAAATTAAATTTCTAAGTTTGGCTTGGTTTTGTATTGCTACAATGAGAAGATTTTCTTGAAAATATACCTTAGAGTTATATATAAAAATGTTTTCTTGAGTAATAACTGGCTCCAATTAGATTATCTAAAAGTTATCAAGTGAATTTAGTTATTTACTGACTTCTTTAATTTGGCAAGTTGACCGAATTTTGTGGGTATATTCACTGCAAACCCTCACGAGACTACAACTCGTCCACTAGGGTAACCTAGGGGTTTAAAGGCTTGTTGTATGCGCTAAATACAACCGTGATTCCTGCGAAAGTGAGTTAGGATTTTCTTTGCTAGAGAACTAGCAAAAGTTTAGGTGTGGGGGTATTTAATAATCATATTTTATTACAATTTTATACCCTCATTATGTATTTTATATGAATAAATACAGCACTAATAATTGCTTTTATCTTTAATTGCAGGTTAATAAAGAATAAATCCCAAAAATCTTATCTCTCAATAAAGACCCTTGAGTAAATGAAGAAATAAGAGAATCAAATGCCATGGGATGCAAGGAATCAAGTGAGCCGGATTTGTTTCAAGACTCAAGAAAAAGATTTGAATTTTCTTGTTTGGGCCGGACTGCAGATCATTTGGGCCATGGAGCTCATTTAATCACAAATGAAAAAAAATATAACTAATTCCCAAGTGACGACGATATTTCTTGTTTTTTTTTCTTTGCTGCAGATCATTTGGGCCATGGAGCTCATTTAATCACAAATGATGCAAAGACCGGACTTGTTTGGAAGTTATGGGCCGGATTTCATTTTCGTTTTCAAAATCAAATGACATAGAAAAAGGCCGGACTTGATTGCATTTGAAAATAAAATAGGAAACTCCAATGGGCTGCTCCAAGATTGAATCAAGTGGGCCGGTTGCAGCTGGCCTTTGAATGGGCCAAAGAAATAGATTTTGATTTTTAAAAGAAAATCAAATGAATCTGTGTGTGGGCCGGACCTTGCAGGTGTGGGATTAATTCCAAACTTGATTGCTGCATTTTAATGGAGACCAAAGTTAGCTTTTTCAAATGGGAACCGAACTTGATTGATGCAAAAATCATTTTGGGCCGGACTTGCAATTTTTACTCCTTGGAAAATCAAAGAAGATTGGGCTGCAGCTTTGATTGGGGATTTTCATCTTTGAAAATCAAATAAATCATATGGGCCTCCTATGTTGGGCTAGAGAAGAACAAAAATAAATTCAATTGTTAAATAGCCAAGAGGCTAGAACCCTCTTGCCTTAGATTTATTTCATGCTTATAGAGTAGATTTATTTTCTTGCATTTAATTCTTGTAATTTTATTTTGTAGTTTAGATTTTGCAATTTATTTTGTAGTTAGATTTTAATTTCTTATACTATTCACCTTGAGGCTAGAACCCTCTTGGGTTTAGTTTTTCTTTTTGTTTATTTTTATTTTGTTTGATTCGCCTTTAGGCTAGAACCCTCTAGGGAATCACCCTTTTCTAAGAAGTGGGTTCAATTTTAGATTACCCATATCTATAATTGAATCCACCATCTTTAATTTCTTGTATTTTCTTTTATTCTAGAATTTTGTTCTTCATTCTTGAATTTTTTATTTTGTTTCTTGATTTTATTCATTTTTTCCTTCTCACCTTATTGTTCATACTCACTCTCATTTACACTTTGCACCTATTTACACACCACTCACTCTCTCAATCTCTTCACAATCATATTCACTCATCAATCTTATTTGTCACGCACACAACATAAGAACCGATTTTATATTTTCTCCTACAAAATACCTTCCTCGTGGGATCGATATCTTAAATACTATAACTTGACACGGTTGTGCACTTGCAACCTTTTTGGTACATGTTTATGCCGCATCAAAATCCCCCGAAAATTCCCCAAAAATCTCCAACAATGAAGTTAGGGTTTGAGGGGAGAGAGAGGGGCTAGGGTTTTTCTGAGATCTGATGGGTTTGGGGTTGGTTTCGGGTAAAAGAATATATATATATATAAGCGGTCAAACCCGAAACAAAACCGAACAGACTTGCAAAGTAAAAGAAAAAACCAAAATCAGTCCGTCAGTCGACTCATAGGTCGGCTCATTAGTCGACTCATAAGTCGACTGATAAGTCAACTGATAAGTCGATTGAGCAGACACATTTCCAGATACGTGCATGTTTTTGCTAATTTGCCAAAACCAATGCACAAAACTCTATAAAAATACACTCATACATCTCTAATGACTTGTTATCAAGTATATCTACACCTTAAGTCATTTACCACAATAGAATTATTTATCATCAATAATTCACATATCTTCATAACAAAAAATATGGGGTTTTACAGGTACAAGGTACAAGGCTAGGCTAGTGGCTAAGGGATTTGCACAAAGAGGGTGTGAATTATAATGAGATATTTTTTCCGGTGGTGAAATACACTTCTATTTGGGTGCTATTGAGTATCGTTGCTCATGGTGATATTGAGCTGGAACAACTCGATGTTAAAACGGCCTTCTTGCACAGAGACTTGGATGAAGAGATCTATATGCATTAACCTGAGGGCTACAAGGTTGAGGACAAGGATAATCATGTGTGTCGCTTGAGGAAGTCACTCTATGGACTGAAGCAATCTCCTCGGTAGTGGTACAAGCGATTTGACTCCTTCATGCTGAAGCATGGTTTTTTCCGAAGCGATTATGATTGTTGTGTTTATATTCGGAATTTTCGTGGAGGTGATTATATCTCTTCTTTTATATGTGGATGACATGCTTATTTCTTCTAAGAGCAGGATGGAGATAGATAGGCTAAAATCTCAACTTGATAAAGAGTTCGAGATGAAGGACATAAGCGCTGCATGGAAAATACTGGGTATGGAGATTAGAAGAGAGCGTGTAAATCGGTGATTGTTCTTTGAGTCAGAAGGGCTACATAGAGCGGGTTATCGTAAGGTTCGGGATACAAAGTGCTAAGTCGGTGATGACTCCATTGGCTTCACACTTTAGGCTCTCAGGTAAACAATCACCCACTACAGCGGAAGAGAAGACACACATGAAACGTGTCCCCTATACTAGTGCAGTTGGCAGTTTGATGTATGCAATGGTGTGTACACGCCCAGATATTTCACAAGCGATTAGTGTGGTCAGCAAGTTCATGGTGAATCCGGGAAAGGCGCACTGAGAAGTGGTGAAGTGGGTCCTGAGGTACTTGAAGGATACCACTGATACGGGTTTGTGCTTTGATAGAGATACATGTCAGATTGACGGGTTTGTGGACTCGGATTACACGGGTGATCTAGATAGACGACGATTTACTACTGGTTATATATTCAACATACATGGGGCTCCAGTTTGTTGGCAATCGATGTTACAGGCTACAATGATACTTTCTACTACAGAGGCCGAGTACATGGCCATGGCGGAGGGAGTGAATGAAACATTGTGGTTGTGGAGTCTTCTATATGATTTGGGGATTGAACAACATACTGTGAACTTGTGGTGCGATAATCAGAACGATTCATTTGGCTATGAATCAAGTTCACCATGCTCGTACCAAGCATATCGACGTCAGGTATCATTTTGTGAGAGATGTCATAGAGGAAGGTGATATTTCTCTTATGAAGGTGCACACGAATGAGAATCCCGTAGACATATTGACCAAGATGGTGACAGGTAGCAAGTTCCAACACTGCTTGGACTTGCTTCATATCAGCCCGTGTTAATCTGCCCAAGAGGACGTGGCCCTTCGGGGCGATGATGGGGTGATGTGGAGACTATGTTGGAGAATAATTACAGAACTACGGTTAGTTTGATCTCGGTCAACCATGGTATAATGGTGAAGCTGGTTTGACATGATTTTCTCCAGGTTTGGTGTCTCAGATCTCTCTGGTGATGTTCGTGGTGTTCTTCTGGTGTTCGTTCAAAATTCGAGGTTTATTAAATGATGAACGAGGTGGAGAATTGTGAATGTGGGATGGTGGGACAAGAGATGATGGAACCCCCCATGCTCCCCCATGCTCCCCATGCTCACCCATGCTTCCCCCATGATCACCCATACTCTCTTGTCCCCTCTTCTTTGCCTATAAATAGGAGAGGTGAGGAAGAGAGAAGTGGGAAGAAAAAAAAAATGGTGTGGAGAGGATTGAGAAGAGTGAGTGAGAAGAGAAGAAAAAGAGAGAGCTTGTGAGTTATACAAGTTTGGTATTCTCCTCATAGTGAAACCCCCCTCCCGTGAACGTAGACAAGTTTGCCGAACCACGTAAATCTCATGTATTAGACTGTGTGTTGGCTATTGCTTATAGGTTCCCTCGACATTCGGTCCTAGAACTGCTTAGTGGAAGAATGTATATCTCACTTTGTTGAAATATTTCACTTTTGTTCTTGTTTCCTTTGTGAAACGGGAATATAGAGGTTGACTTGAGCTTTTGTGAAAACAAAAACCAGAGTTTTCTCTCAAATGATATCGCTTCCGTCGACGTAAGGACGTGACTTTGCGCCCAACAGCTATCCTCCAGCCAAAAAAAAGTATATGCCTACATTGAAACCAAGTGGCATTCTATCTCCTGTTTACAAGAAAGTAGCTGAAATAAGAGAAATATAGAATCCATAAACCAAACAGGCCCTAACAACAAAATAAAATAAAAAACAGGACCATATACAAGTGAGCTAGAATTACCATTCTAAAGAACATATTCAGTGTCATAAAGATCCATAATTAAAGCCTACAGTTTCCACTGCACCGGTAAACAAAACAAGTAGAGATCCTAATAAACATGGGTTTATTTGACTCCGATTACAGCTTTCAAGAACTTGACCTTGTCCCCTATCTCTACCAAATCAGAGGTGTCCTTGAGAGAAACAGGAGGTTCTACTCCAGTGAAGAGATACAGAGCCTTCAATTCCTCTACAAGCGATGAACAAGCTACAGCTTTATATCCTACAATGGTTCGCATTGCATGTAGCTGCTCCCATATCATCTCCTGGCTGTAAATAATCTGCAATTGATGAAACATGAATCTCAAAAGTTTCAATAATTATTGACTTAAATGGATGAATTTAAATGAAAGCCCTTTGTTTGTATGAGAACATAACTCTTTCGTTGTTTCAACCCCAGTAAGTAATTTAAGGCTCTATTGGAAGTGATAAATGTCAATAATGTCAGTTTCCCACGGTTCGTTAACCGAAATACATCAACATCGAAAATGAAATGTGATCAGGTTTTTGAAAATGAAATGTGATCAGGTTTTTTGATCCTGCCCGTCTTCCTTCTGCATATTCATTACTCCCCCTCATCTACCCACACAAAACACACGCGCGCGCACAAAAGGCCAAAGATGACCTTCTATGTGGAATATCAGAGAAAGAGAGAGAGAGAGAGAGGGGGGGAGAGAGAGAGCCGTGAGTGTGAACCTGTCACTAACATATCAGCACTAACATATCCGTACAATCTCTTGTCTAATAGTGACATCAATGTGACTGCACATATTACATATATTGACGTCAAGATTCACGATGTGTCAGGTGTTACTCTCACCTTTCTCCCTTATATTATATGCAATACTGTAGTCTATTGAGAGCCCTCTAAAGATTTTGCCCCTTCATTTATGATTTTTTTTTATTATCTTGGGAATGTGGCAGTGTAGTGGAGTAAACTTCTCAACTTTTTGGCGAGCCAGTTTTTCATTTCAAGTGTGATGTGTCACCAGAAGTAAAATTATCTACCAGGCAACAGAGAGTGTTAAACCTTTTAACTCGGCAAGAGTATACTTACCAGTACAAGTAAAGTATCTGTTAACCTTTTTAAGTTCTAACGCAATGGTGAAAAATAACTGACCTCATCATCATCAGATCTCTCCACTTCGACAGTCTCAACAATTATCTTTGCATTTCCTGACTCAGCATCTGTCATGTCTGAAGAGTGATCCTCAACTGCAGATGCATACTCTGCACTCATGCTTGACACTGGAATGTCACTCTCACCCACCAAAGGGGCCACAGCAACGGAATGGTAAGCAGTTATCACGTGATCCTCACGATTGAGAATAAAAGTACTTCTATCAATTTCTACGTTCTCTTCTCTTTTTATTCTTCCCTCTACATGTATTGGTTTATTAGTAACTCCATCATTGCAGCTCGTGGTGGAAAATGTGTTCTCTGAGCCCAAGTCGTGACCTTTGGAGTGTATCACACTGTCTTCAGGAATGGCAGTCAGAGAATGATTAACAGCCGCGAGAAGGTCCTCAGCCTCCTCAAGAACAAGAGGAGCCATATCCTTGACTTCATCCACCATCCCTTTTGATCTTTCTGCTGATTTCACCTCCTTTGGTTTCACTTTGTCGACTGTTGTTTCTTCCTAGAAGTACCCAACAACAAGAGTGAAGGTATTGTGTTACAAATTTTTGTTTAGTCTTTGGAATATTTAAGTTCGAATGAAATGGGAAGCATTACGTACCATGAGGAACAAGGGATAACTAGATACTACAAGAACAAGGAAAATGGTAAATTTCAGAAAACCCCTTTAGGTTTGGCCGATTTTGAGATAGTACCCTAGACTTTAAAATTGTCACTTGACACCCTTAAGTTTGGGAAGCGTCAAAAACCACCAAATATTTTCAAAATTTTCAACAAACTCCCTAGTGGTGTTAGATGAACTGTTAAAATGACCAAAATAGCCTTTTTAAATTATCTCCAATTATTTTATTTAATTTGATAATTACTCAGAAGCATTTTGGTCAAAGGTGGACCAAACTTGAGGCGGTTTTGCAAAAATTACCTTTAAATTTTTTAAAAAGGACATGAAAAAGGGGGTTTTTCATCAAGGGAACTTTGGACATTTAGACCCACATGATTTTCATGCACATTTTCTAAAATTTAGGGAGTTTCTGCGAAATTTAAGGGGATTTAAGTGACATTCTTAAAGTTTAGGGGAACCTCTCGGAATTGGTTGCGAAATTTACTCTCTCAGAAAAAGAACTAACCTCATCATCAGATTCCTTCACCACAGCAGCCCCAACAATCATCTTTGCTGATCCACTCTCGGTGTAAATCGCATCTAAAGAATGATCCGCAACTGCAGATGCATATTCTGTACTCATGCTTGGTACTACAATCCCCCTCTCACTCTTCAAAGGGGCCAAACCAACGAAGTAATCATAAGCAGTTATCACATGATCCTCGCCATTGGAAAGAGCGGGACTTCTATCATTTCCGACATTCTCCTCTCCCGTTACTCCTCCCTCTACTTGTATTGGTTTAAAAATACCTCCATCTTCGTAGCTATCGGTAGACAATGCCTTCTCTTCAGGAATAGCGGCCAGAGAATGATCAACATCTGTGAGAAGTTCCTTGGTCTCAAGAACAAGAGCAGAGACATCCTCTGACCTTCCTCCTAACGTCACCTCTGTTTGTTTCATTTCATCCGCTACTGTTCCCTTCTCATACCCAACAACAGAGAAAGTAAAACGTTTCATGTTAGAACTTTTTTATGTAGTCTCGGAATTTTGGAAGTTCTAATTTAATGGGAAGCATTACTATGAGAATAATTGGAAACTACAAGAATAAGAAAAGGGGTGAATTTCGCAAGCCCTGCTTATCTTTAGTGATTTTTGAGATAACCCTGTTAAACCATTTTTATTCCGCAAAACCCATCTGAACTTTGAAGGTTTTGCGTTTACCCCCGCACTTTCATTCTACTAAACCCCTTAAAGATTTTTCACTTTAACACCCCCCACCCCCTGGGGAACCAAAAAAAAGAAGAACATAAGGTACTCCCAGCCCACAGACGATCACCCTTTAACCTTTTTGTTATTTCCATCAAATTTTTGACGGCTAAGGGTCGTTTTCACCTTTAGTCACTTGTTCGGCACATGTCACATTAGATTTGGCGGTGGGGGTCAAAGTGAAAAATCTTCAAGGCGTATAGCGGAATAAAAGAAGTTCAGGAGGGTTAGATGCAAAACCCCTTAAAAGTTCTAGGCTGTTTTTATGGAATTAAGATAGTTAAGGGGTTTGTCTCAAACATGGCAGAATTTTTGGTGATTTTCTGAAACTTAACCTAAGACAAATCACTAACCTCATCATCATCATCTTCCTTCACTTCAGCAGTCTCAATAACTATCTTTGCTGGTCCGCACTCGGCATCTGTCATGTCCAAAGAATGATCCTGAACTGCAGAGGCATATTCTGTGCTCCTGCTCCATAGTGCTACCTCCCTCTCATTCTCTGAAGGAGCCACAACAACGGAATCATAAGCCGTTATCATGTCAGTCCCTCTATTGAGGATAGCAGTGCTTCTATCTTTTTCTACACTCTCTTCTCCCATTACTCCCCTGTCAATTTCTATTGGTTCAACATCACCTCTAACTTTGTAGCTCGTGCCTAAAAATGCATGCTCTGAGCTTAAATCAGACCGTTTGGAGTATAAATCCCGGTCTTCAGGAACAGAAGCAAGAGGACGATCAGTAGCTGTGAGATATCCTTCAGTCTCAAGGACAAGAGGAGGCGTATCAGTAACCGTATCTTCCATTCCCTTTGATCTTCCTTCTAGCATCAGCTTTATTTGATTTACTGTATCAACTTCAGCTTCCTTCTCGTACCCGACAAATTTAGTTTGCTGGGTCACCTTGTTGCTTTCATCACTTGTCACAATAGAAACTTCCGTAAGCATGTACTGAAACTCCTCCACTTCTCCGTCTCCTTTTTCATTCTCTATCTTCCTATTTACTTTCTCCCCCGATTCTGTACCAATAACATCAACAGAAAATGGGTAATCGGAGCTCTCTATAATTTGCTGCTCATTTATATTTTCTCTTCCCTTCTCGTTATCTTCTCTATTTCTCTGTTGCTCTTTCTCCTCTGTCTGCCTTTCATCTTGCATCAGCCTCTCCTCTTCCTCCAATCCACTATCTTGTATTATATCTTTCCGGTCATTGAGGGAAGATGCATTCATGAACCTGATCGTATCTTCTTCCATGTTACCTTCATCTCTTGTGATGTCTATGTTAATGGTCGGCAGCCTCATCTCAATCCCATGCTCGATAGTTACTGCATCTGTCTCATCACTCTGCATTTCCAGTTGTCTTTTCTCTACACTCTCGTTTTGTTTCTTTGACGCCTCTTCTTCCACTACCATTTTAGATTCCTGCATATGGGAAGTTCAAACTTTAGCTTACTATCAGTGCATCAGAAAACACAATCCAAGTATCAACTAGATAACACTAACACACAGCTACGATAATGCTTATGAAAGGTGATCTGACAAAGGATGAAGAAACCATTCATTCTAAATTTCATAAGCAGCAGGCATAGAACAGGACCCATGTTAATAACACAAAAAACAACAACAGAACCTATTGACTGCCCGATGCCTCAGTATGAATACAGATTCTGAGAAACCAAATCAAATAAAATTCGTGAGCAATAAATGCATTGAACAAGAACTGAAAGAGGATAGGTCAGTTTTCAGCCAAGGATAGGTCAGTTTTCAGCCAATAAGCTTTCTTTCAGGTACAACCAATAACTGTCTCAACTATGTTTGGATTAATAACGGAACAGTGGACAAAGAATGACTGATTGAATTTAACCACAGCGTTTGGTAACAGTTCATGTTTTCCACAGATTTGGGCTGAGCAAACAAAAATTCCAGACAACTCCTTTGCTCTGTAATCAGATCTGCTGTGCTGAAATTTCAGCAAACAATTACTGCTTGAAGAAGAATCCCGAGACAACAAAACTGTAGATGGTTCCAAATCTGTGAAAACATTAACTGTTGCCAAAACCTGCAGTCACACCTTCATGCAAGGGCTCGCAGACCCTCATTTGGCTCTCCGCTATTATATGATGCTGCTTGAATTGCAGGGTAATTTGCTTATGGTGAACATTGGATCAATTTCACAGTGGATCAATTTAAAAATGTGTAATTGGATCAATTTTAAAGTTCCTGAATGAATCAAAATTCTTGACTTTGACGAAATTCAGCTTATTTTAAATTTAAATACTGATTGATCCTTATTGGGAGGGTATTCCATAGTATCATCAACACCAGAATTTATAAAGACATGAGTGTGTGCACATGTATGCATATATCAGTAGGAAGAACTTCCACATTTTCTGATTATTTAATGAAGAAACAATCAGCTCTGGCTGCAAATATAAGATTTATATACGACTTCACAGACTATAAAAGCTCCATAGCATACAAAATCAGATTTAAAAAAACTCATTACGTCATTACGAATTCTTTTGCATTGAGAAAACCGACGATACTTGCTTGCATTGTACTATTTAAGAAAAAGTACTGCATGAGTAATTTTCGTTCAAGTTATGTGAACATGGTTTTTTGTATGCGTAAAGTGTTGTGCGCAGCGGAAATTTCGGCAGCACTTCGGCAGCACAACAAGAGAGATTAGATCAATAAGAATTCCCGTCTCACCAAGGAAACAAGAATTTGAAGCGGATATCTCAACCAAGTGAGATATCGGCTCTTCCTCTCATCAGTTCTAGGACTGACCTGTCGAGGGATCCTACAAGCTATTACAAATCACGACAAGAACACAACTTTTACGTGGTTCGGCAAATAGCCTACGTCCACGGGGCAAGGAGGGGGGAGATCTACTATTAGAGGGAGAGAATACAACTGGGGTTTACAATCTCACAATCTAAACCCTCTCAAACAAATTCTCAAATCCCTCTTACAAAATCTCTCAAAGGATACACAAAAAACTAAAAACAGCGGCTTCTTTTCTTCTGCAGTTCCGTTCGCTGCCAAGAAAAATGAGCCGACTTTTTCTTCTCTAATTTCCTCCTTCGCACGCCAATTTGCAGCCGCCACACTCCTGCCTTTTCTTTTGCTGCCGCACAACAAGAACCCCCTCACTTGGCACAAAACCCTAGCAATTAAACTTTGATATTTATAAGTGCTGTCAAAACAATAATAATATAAAACCTCACTTGCTGAGACCCAAATGGGAGTGCAAACACTCACCCCAAATGTCGATGTCGCTCACCAAATCAGCTGCATCATAAAGACTGCTTACGTATCCTCTTGCCCAAGGAATCAAGCCGAACGTAGTTCACCCAAATGGCCTCCAAAGGCCCTCAATCAAATAGAAAAGTCTGCAACTCTTCTTCAATATCACCAAACGACCTGCAACTGATAGCACTCCCAATAGCTCCAAATTGAGACAAATCAAACACCTCCATCTGAGGTGAACCAATGACCGTATCCAAATTAAGTCCATCAGCTGCAATCGAATCCAACTCATCATCTGTATCCAAATCCAAATGATCCCCAATCTGTGTCACCTCAGCTGGAATCCCAAATGATACAGTATGATCTGGAGTCTCCACCCAACGTGGAGTAGCATCACTCTCCACCCGCTGCGATATCCCAAAGATCTGATCACCACTCTCCACCTGCCGAGAGTTAAACGTGACATACCTGCTCAGAACAAAATCTGAAGCCAAAACCTGATAATCAAACACGCCTCTGAATCCCAAATGTGCTATCGGATCAAATCTCACATCCACGATGTGACCAAATGCTGGGTAGCCAAACATCCGACGCAACCCAAAATCTGAAGCAGCTCCACCAGATCCAAAATCTCTACATGCAGCAGTCGGCAACCTATACATAAGACGGCTCAAACATGTCGTAGCCCGCACACCAATGCCAATGCTCGACATCAAATGCCTATCCTCCTCCAGAAAGGAACAGCTCCCTAAATCTGCCATCTCATCACGTCGCCTCAAAGTTTCCACACCAATGAAGTGTCTCCAATTGCCGTGAGCTCGGTACGAATGCAAACATAGGTCCCTCTTGTACCTCCTTCTAACATCAGACTGAAGTACCTTCACCTTTCTGCCAATACACTTCCTCCATTTGTTGCGGGCTTCTAGGACTTCACACAAACGGGACTTGGTTGCAACCCACCAATGCCTAGAGTAATCCCCAACTGTGGAAACCACATACCTATTACCTCCCAATGATGCTCTCTTGGAAGGTTCCCGAATGCCTGAATGAACACCCCTCAGAAGACCCCTCGAATGATGGATAGAAGTGCCAAACTTCACCTCGGTCTTCTTGCTCATATTAATGGGTTCACAGAACTTCAAACTGCAGGTCAAAGCACTCCTCAATAACCCATACACGGCATTACCAATCAAATAACCTAGCATCAAACAACGCCACAATCTAGCCGAATCAGATGAAGTCGTCATCTCCCTATCAATCGTCGTGCTTCCAAGAAAATAATACAAATTGCTCCTTCTGACGCCCTTCATCACAATCATGGACCCTAATGTGACCTTCAAACATTCATCCATCAAGGTCACTTTATAGCCAGATGCCACCAAAGCTCCTAGTGAAATGATGTTCTTCGACAACTGCGGAACGAACCTCACTTCTTCTAACTCCTGAATCACTCCGTCATACATCCGAATACGAACGGTACCAATACCACCAATAGAGCATGCATGTCCATTACCCATGAGCACAACATCCTCTCTTTCCAACTTCTGAAAGCTGGAGAACCAATCCCTCCTAGGGCAAACGTGGTATGAAGCACCCGAATCCAACATCCACTCTATAGAGTTGGCAACACAAACTGACGATAGTGAGGATAAAGAATAGCCTGAAGAATCTGAATCTGAATTGTTACCACTAGTCTTGATAACAGAATAGCCTGAAGAATCCGAATCTGAATTGTTGCCACTAGTCTTGACAACATTCACCTCTGGAGCTTGTACAGCTTTCCCCTTATTCTTCTCTGCTCGATCTAACTTTGGGCATTCAGCTTTCCAATGTCCATCCTCTTTACAAAAGGCACACTGATTCCTACGAATCCCACGATGTGCACCTCTAGACTGCGACCTCCTGCTTCGGTTTGAACCACGACCTTGAACTACTAATGCATCTCCCGATGCCTTCTCGGAGGACTCATCAACACTCTTCCTCAACTCATAATTCACCAACGCTGAGGTCACCTCCTTATAACTAACAGTAGTTCTTCCATTAATCATAGTTAGGACAAAAGTACCATAATCATCCTCAGGCAACGAACACAATAGTAGCATCGCCTTGTCTTCATCCTCAACCATGATATCCACATTGGCCATGTCTGAAAGTAGCTTTGTGAAGTTGTTAACATGCTCCCTAATGGAAACTCCCCTCTTCATCTTGAACTGGTAAAACCTCTTCTTCAAGTGAAGCCGATTCTCAATGCTCTTAGTAAGATACTTTTCATTTAGTGTTTCCCACATCTTCTTCGCCGACGTCTCGTTCATCACGTCATAAATAAGATCCGGCGTCAAGCATGACCGAATAACTCCACACACCCTACTATTCATCTTCTTCCAAACCTTAGCTTCCATATCGACATGTTTCTCTTGTAACTCAAGAGTCTCCTCTAAATTCTGAGCGTCCAAGGCATCCATAACCTGACACCTCCACAAACCGAAATTGATCTTGCCGTCGAACTTCGGAATATCAATCTTCATATTATTGATGCTCAAACTATGTATCGTCTTCGTAAAAGACGATCCCGATGTGCTTGTTTCACCCATGTTGTCTATCTAATCTTCAAATAGGAATCCTTCAGCGAATCCTTCAAACAAGCTCCCAAGTCCAACCCGGAGCTCTGATACCACTTGTTGTGCGCAGCGAAAATTTTAACAGCACTTCGGCAGCACAACAAGAGAGATTAGATCAATAAGAATTCCCGTCTCACTAAGGAAACAAGAATCTGAAGCGGATATCTCAACCAAGTGAGATATCGGCTCTTCCTCTCATCAGTTCTAGGACTGACCTGTCGAGGGATCCTACAAGCTATTACAAATCACGACAAGAACACAACTTTTACGTGGTTCGGCAAATAACCTACGTCCACGGGGCAAGGAGGGGGGAGATCTACTATTAGAGGGAGAGAATACAACTGGGGTTTACAATCTTACAATCTAAACCCTCTCAAACAAACTCTCAAATCCCTCTTACAAAATCTCTCAAAGGATACACAAAAAACTAAAAACAGTGGCTTCTTTTCTTCTGCAGTTCCGTTCGCTGCCAAGAAAAATGAGCCGACTTTTTCTTCTCTAATTTCTTCCTTCGCACGCCAATTTGCAGCCGCCACACTCCTGCCTTTTCTTTTGCTGCCGCACAACAAGAACCCCCTCACTTGGCACAAAACCCTAGCAATTAAACTTTGATATTTATAAGCTGCATATGTACGGGTGAAGGTTGAATCGGGTGGGCCGGCCATTGCAAAACATCTTCACGCGGTTTTGTTTTTCTCCTCACGTGGGTTGTGGCCCCCACATCTTCACATAAAGTAGTAGCAACTAGTGTGGGAACTTGTAATATAATTGGCATGACACTCATATATAAGTTCTTATTTCCTTTACATACGCATTGTACAAAGCCTATATAAATTTTTACTAAACAAAATGTTTTCTCCTCATGCTCCTACATTTTTTTTAACACACTTTTTCTTGTAGCAAAATTAGAGGATTTCTTAATTAGATGTTGGAGGAAGACAAATGATATAAGGAGATCATGACTTCCAAAAGATTACTTCTCTCATATCAAGCATTACAACAACCTCATCTTTCTATGACCGTAAATTTTTGTTTGCTCAGCCCTTCTTGTATTGAGAGAAATATTGGATTAACTCTACTCTTATCTTGCTTTCCTACTGTTGTTTTATAAGCACAATGAGTAATCACAAGATATTCATATCCTGATCATTCATTGCAATTCAAACTAAGCTTTTCTATAGTCAAAACAGGTGACTTATGTCATAGGCCCTCCTCAGAAGAAGAGGACACATTATGCTTCAGAAACGATAGACATCCTATTTAGATTGTTGGATTTGACTCTTTCAGTTTCAGCTAAAGTTCTCGGAATTGTCGTGGCAACCCTCTTCAAACCGAAGAAGTAATGTAAAATTGCTTCAAGATTTCAAGATGACTTTATCAGTCTAAAGTGACAATGTATTTTTTGTTAACATGAATTTTTATTTTTACATGTCATACTCAAACAGTTGAAAACAAAATAAGGAACACCTCGATAGGGAGTACTACCCTCATAAACACTAAAGCACATCAGCCTACTCATGTCCTCATCTTAATTATTATGACAATTGAGGAACTAGTATATATCCCCCAAATTTATTGATGTCATTAATGTTAAAAGAGTATAAAGTATATTCGTCAACCTCAACCCTCAGTAAAACTTTGTGGGCTTTCCACACATTGGAAGTAACCTTTAATATGGAGTCAAATCATAAGCAATTCAAATGGGAATTCAAGTTCAAATTCCAACTCGCCATGAACTTCAAATTAACATAAAGCGAATTTAGAAAAATATTGTTGCTAGCGCAGAGCGCATTGACAGGGCGCTCAACCTAACAACGGGTACGGGATAGAGTTTGCTACATCAGAATGGACCTTCAACAATAAACTTGCTGATTGGACCTTAAACAATTAATTTATCACCTAGGCCTTTCTACCCATATTTTCGCAATCGGCTTAGGGCTCAGAATGAGTCACTTACTCACTTGCTGCCAATGTGTTTTTTTTTTGTCCTCCAGAATTTCACAAGTAATATGATGTGAAAAAGAGATGATTTCACTTTAAGCATTATCTACTGCACATTCCGTAAATCCCACGTCGTGCAATTACGTTAAGAAAATGACGTTGGCACTAACTCTGCCCCCAAGGTTGTACGAGCAAATCTCCATCATCCCCACAGCAACATACTTCAACGAAAATAATAATTCAACAAGAAGATCAACAGGGTAATTAACCCTACTAATCAAGAAAGATTACTAACCGCAATTCCCAATTCATCTTGTTCATTCAGCATCTCCTCATCTTCTACCATAATCGTCGGAGGCCAAATATCAATCTCACGATGATCCTCCTCCTCCTCCTCTTCTTGGCTATCGCCATTGACGACGACCACAACAGGAGATGGGTGGGAGAGAAGAGCCCTCATCACTTTATCAGTGCAGAGAAAACCCGCAAAATAGATTCCGAAGGGAAAGGCGAAGGCGAGGCCGACAACAAGCGGAGGGATCACGACGGGCGCAGAGCTGATCGCCGCTCCCGCGATCGCCAGCCGTTGCCGATACGTGGGCGCTGGCCGAGGCAGCTGGCACACCCAGGCTCGCTCTCTCGGTCTCTTCTATCTTTTTTTTTCTTCCTTTTTTTTTTTTTGGGCTGCAGGCGCGCGTCTTGCTTATCGCTAGGGGGTTTGCGATTCCGGGGAACAGAACACTGCATTTATGTTGATCTTCCTATCTGACCGTTCAACTGTTTGTCACGTACATGCGAGTAAAATAAAATTGATTCGCGCCGTGCCGTCGTATTAGTTTTGAATATTGATTTAAAAATATATATGCAGCGAATCACCTAAGAAAATATATAGTGGGTCACACCAAAATATAGCGACATATAGGGCCTGTTTGTTTCACTAATTTTATGAAATAGGAATGATATTTGAACCTGACAATGGCGTTTTTGTAATTAATGGATTCCAAATGAATCCTAATATTGAGTTTGGTTCAATTTTTTTTATAGAATTACTAATCTATAAAGTGGCTCAAACAGTTGATATTTTAGGAAATCCAAATCCGTTCCATTTGAGAGGAATTGGGCGAGATTTCTGACACCTCTCCTCTTTCTTATTCCGATTCCTAATCTATGAAACCCTAGATCTGTTGATCCGTGGTTTCCCCGCTGTTCTTCTACCGCTACAACGCTCTCTTCTTTGCGCCTCTTCTTCGCTTCTCTTCTCCTGCCGCTCGTCATGGCTTGTGCGTGGTCGTGTCTGGAACTCGAAACCCTAGCTCTGGTTGAGCCATGATTTTTTGCAGATTTATATGTCGAATCAGCTTCTCCCTCTAATCTGATCTCGCCTCTTGTTGAGCCGTGATTTCTTTGATTTGTTTTCCAACTTCTTGTTGTTGGGGTCCTTGGCTTTGGTTGTTGTTACTTGGACGTCGACATTTTTTTCCCTCTGCAGCTCAAGGTATATGATTTTCCCCCTCTTTTTTGTTCGTGATAATTCATTATTTGGGAATTTTAACAAAGAATAGGGTTATGTTTACTAAATTTCAGTTAGTTGTGTGAAATAGAATATAATTGTTCGCATCGATATTGTTCTATTTAGTTAGTTGTGCGATAAATTTCAGTTGTGATTACTAAATTTTAATTAGTTATGTGGAAATTTCAGTTATGTTTACTAAATTTTAGTTAGTTGTGTGATAATTCATTATTTAGGAATTTTAACAAAGAATAGGGTTATGTTTACTAAATTTCAGTTAGTTGTGTGAAATAGAATGCATGATATTTGTGTGAATGTGTTGTTCTTGATAATTGTGTTTATTACAAAAGAATGTGAATGCATGAAAAAGAATAGGGTTATGTTTACCAAAGAATGGTGTTAAATTCATTACATTAAAGGAACCGGGTAGTAGAATGTGTTGTTATTGATAATTGTGTGATATCGAATGCAACACTAGTTAAAATAAAATTCAGTATAATTAGATTTCTTGCGATACAAGGAATAAATATTTGTATCAATTATCTAATTAAATTTCAACTGAAATAAGTAGACAAGATAAGTTGTAAATGTATGCTAATTTTAAAACGGATGTAGATGGATATGGAAGATGAAGAAGAATTGAAGAGAATGTGTGCTAATATAGCTGTTTACGCCGTGGTCACTTTGGTAACATGTATTTTGAGAATGCGTGCTAAGCGCAAGACAATATCAACTTTACGAAGCAAGAAAAGATCATAAAAATATATTGTAGAGAGGCGCACTTCAGACGTGTATTAGAGGACTATCAAGATAGCTGCCGATCTTATATTAGAATGAGACCGAGGGTTTTTTTTAAACTTATTTAAGTAATGAAAGCAAACGGTTTATTAAAAGATACAAGACACGTTCAAGTTGAAGAACAGCTTGCTATGTTCTTAAGTATTGTGGGGCATAAAACTAAAAATAGAATAATAAGAACTGAGTTCATAAGATCATGAGAAATAGTTAGCAGGTATTTCAATAAAGTCTTGCAAGCAATGAATGGATTACGTGATCTGTACATGAAGCAAACCCCAAAAGAAGTTCCCGTGGAGATTGTAAACAACTCAAATTATTTTCCTTACTTTAAGGTAAATTAAATACATTCATCTTAACAATTTTTCAAATAAATTACTTTTTATTGAGCTATGTATAATTTATAATTTTTTATAGGACTGCATTGGTTTGATATATGGCACACACGTTGACGTGGTATTACCTAGTGACCTAGTTGCACGGTTTAGAGGACGAAAAGGGGTCACCCAAAACATCTTAGCAGCCTGCACCCCCAATAAAACTATTTACTTATGTCTTGGCTGGCTGGGAGGGGGCATCAAATGATTATAGGATATTACAAGACGCTCTGTCGAGACCACAGTCTTACGGGCTCCGAGTTTATGATGTTATTCATTCTCACTTATGCACATTTTGAATAATATATTAAATACTTGGCAATAATTGAGATTTTAAAATACTATTCAATTAATGTAGGTAAATATTACCTATGTGACGCTGGATACACCACAATGTCAGGTTTAAAATACTATTCAATTAATGTAGGTAAATATTACCTATGTGACGCTGGATACACCACAATGTCAGGTTTCATATCCCCGTATCGTGGTGTACGATATCATTTAAAAGAGCACACCGGTAGGACACCAAAGAATAGGAAAGAGTTGTTCAATTTAAGGCATTCATCTTTAAGATCAAAAATTGAATGCACATTTGGGATATTGAAGAATTGGTTTAAATCTCTAACGGCAAAGCCGAATTATCCATTTTCCACTCAAGTGGACATTGTACTAGCGTGTACTATGTTGCACAACTTTATTGCCTTGGAGGATCCGGATGATGATATTTTAAATAAAAATGTTGAAATTGATGAAGATACTAGGGACGAGACAAATGAAGAGGGTTCAAATGTGGTGGATTATACTCAAAGTAGGACACAAAGAGAGGATCGAGATGTAAGAAATGAATGGAAGAAGATGCGAGATCAAATTGCTTGGGCGATGCGGGTGGATTATTGTGCAAAGTATAATGGTGGTAACACAATGGAGAGCGGTTTAACTTAGTGTGTTATTTGTTCTATGGCTATGTAATAACTTGGTAAATTTTAAAATACTGTTCGCATCGATATTGTTTAATGTTTCTTTGCTTGTACCAAAACATTACTACTTTTATCGGTTGCTCTTTTGTTATGTTGTTTGAGAAATATCGTCGTTTCATATATTTCTTGATAAATGCATGCATATCCTATATTGTTTTATATTTCTTTATTATTAATATGGCTATGCTTACAACATATATTAGGTATGGCTAACAATCCGGCAGATAAGCGAAGCGTGCCTTCTCATTCGAATGCAATGCCAAATCCTAAATCAGGGATTAACATGAACTTCATGCCTGTTCGACCACAACCATTCACTTCAACTCCTTATACATTCTCACCATTCCCACCATATGATGGTAATTATGGTGGGATGATATAGTCGCCAATGTCATACATGAGCTTGTTAAGCAGACCACAAGGTTTGATATTTCCCACAGTCAGTTCTCAAAGTAGTGGACCTAATCAATTTTCACCAAACACTGGTGATTCAGGTGGAAAGGATATTCATGATGTTGATGGTGCGGAGCACACTTCGCCATTGAAAAGAGGGAAAAAATTAGCTCATAAGAAAAAAGTTATGGGTGCCAGGTTGAACTCAAGAGGCGTGGCTAATAAGTTTTGGCTTCCAGAGCACGATGATGTGCTTATTCCTTATATTGCAGATTTAGCATTGGATGACCTAAAGCCAAACAAGAACTTCAAGGCTGAAGCTTATAAAATAGCTGCCATGAAAATCAACATGCAATTCAGGACTGATTTCACTCATCTACATGTCATTAACCACTTGAAATGTTTGAGGAACACATTCAACGACATGAAGGCTTGCCTTGATATAAGTGGTGCTGGGTGGGATGAAACAAGTAAAATGATTACATTGGATGATGAAACCTTAAAATCTTGGGCTCAGGTATAACAAATTCAGCATCTATATTGTCACCAAAATTTAATACATTTTATTCGCCACTTATAAGTATTTGTTATTGCAGGACAAATCCAATTCTTAGTACAAAGCATACATAAACAAACCCCTTCCTCACTTCAAAAATTTACAAGTTATCGTGGTTGATGATCAAGCCAAGGGTGAATTTGTTAGGCCCGTGTACGCTAACATTAGGTCTAGTAGGTCTATACTTATTCCCAATGATGATTGCGAGATTCTAGAGGAGAGTGAAACTGAACCATATTCTGATGCTTGCAACCAACCACATTCTAATGCTGTTAACCAACCACAATCCACTAGATATAAGACTAAGAGTAAAGACAACATTACTTCATCATCTAATAAGAAAACCAGAAAATCGTGAAGAGGAAGTGCTATGTGCCTTTGTTGAGTCAATGTCTCAGTCAATGAGAAATCAACCCGTTATTCACTGGACTGAGCAGTTGGCTGCAACGTTGAAGGAACATAGGTCTGAATATTCTGAGGAGTTCCTCGATAGGGTTTTAGACCATTTATATGACAATGAACGTGAAGCTAGGAGGTTTTTCATAAAATCCAAGGAAGGTCAGCAGAGGTACATCACCAAATTAGTTAACGACCAAGGTTGGTCGGATAGCTAGTTTGTTGGGTTTCGATTATATTTTGATGGATATTGTTGTGTTAATTGCAAACTATTAATATTGCAATATATATTTTTATTATGAAGAACTTCTATGTCGTTGTGGGATTGAGGAGGAATTGTTAGACCCTAGAGGGGAGTGATTAGGGTCTTATGCTAATCTAATCCGATTTTATGCCAATTAAAACTAATAATAAGTTATCCTAGCAAGTATGAAATACAACAATATATATGAGCTAGGATAAGTAATATGAACAAAGAGATATATCCTAGCAAGGAGATATACTATGATATATATGCAAGGATATACAAATTAACACAAGGGTGAAATAAACAATTTACAAAAGAGATATGGTAATATAAAGAGCAATACACAAAGGCGATATAAGATATGAATACAAGAATAAGAACGCCAATGCAATCACAAACAAAACGATATGATCACGGAGTTCGGTCTAACCACTTGACCTACGTCTTCGCTCCTCACCTCGAGGAGATCTCCACTATCACAATAACCGGGTTTTCTACGCTTACCCGAATAACGTTTACACCACACAATACGGTTTTCTAGTTTACCGAAAACTATACAACTAACACACTCTTGTAATCTCACTCTACACACTCTCAAGTGTTGAACTAGACGTGTCTCCCTCAAGTGCTAGGATACAACCTCTCCCTAGGTTCGTCAACTCTCAAGTGTTGAACTAGACGTGTCTCCCTCAAGTGCTAGGATACAACCTCTCCCTAGGTTCGTCAACCGACGCCACTCCTCTTGGGACCATCCCCGACTCTCGCCACACACTTTTCTCGGTGTACAAGTGTATTACAAAGTGAATCTCATAATAAGTACAATTACAATAAATGATTGGTCTCTAATATGGATGAGAACACAATGAAAGCTCACACTTAATTATTACAACTCTCACCAACCCAAATATACAATGTATGTAAATACAATAAGCTCAAGTGGGTGTGTGTAAGAAATGAGTGAAATCAAATCAACTAAACTCAATTGAAAATACTAGCTTAATAAAAATGATAAACAACAAAGAATTAATACAAAGCTAGTATTGAATTTAGAAATCTTATCTGAAAAACAAGATGGAGAGATGGATTAAAATGAAGCCCAAGGAATGTAGATGATCTCCTCCACTTGTGTAAAACTTCTTCAAAAACAAAACTCTTTTAAACAAACACTAAACAAACTTAAACCCTTGTTAAACTCTTGTTTAAAAACTTCTTGGATCACCATGCGAACTGAGATCAATGAGATATTTATAGCCTCCCAAAACCTCAGCCAAAAACCCCAAACAAAAGACCAAAAAGCCCCAAAAAACGGCTGCAGGAAATAGCTGTTGGGTTTGAAAAGATAGAGCGGCGGTCGACCGTGAGAATCTCGCGATCGACCGCAAGGCAAAATCAAACCTGAGAAAATATCCAGAGAAAGCTACGGTCGACTGTGGTGGTCGATCGTGGGAACTTACAGGCTGACGGTCGACCGTCACGGTCGGGTCGACCGTCACGGTCGACCGTGAAAGTTGTTGCTGCCCGCTCAGGAAAAGAACCAGGCGCGGTCGACCGTGGTGGTCGACCGAGAACTGATATATTGAAAATACAGGTTTTGAAAAACTATTTTCTGATTTTAAAACCCTATTTAAAAATATTAAATAAATTTCAAAAAATATTAAACTTTGTAAAATGATTGTAGACATGATAATACATATGCTACAAAAACTAGTTTTCAAAAAGGACCTCCCAAATGAAAAATATCACCATTTTACAAAATAGTCCAAAACATGAAAATGTAAACATATGAATTTTGACATTTTTGGCTAAACCATGTTTTGAAACAATAAAAAATGATTTTATAGACTTAATAGAAGATGTAAACTATTGTTATATATTATAGTAATTAATAAAGAATTAATATTCATTCAATGAAATGAGACTTAATGCATAAAGATTAGATGTGTATATTTGTAGGAGGTCATGAATAAGTTATTTTTATCGAAAACAATAATTCTCTGCATAGAAAATTATCTTACACATGTTTCTATTATAAAATATAAACTACTTGTAAAGCAAGAAGCTCAAGTACATTTATGTGTGAGAGAGGGATGTCATTTTGAAATTATCTTTCTAGAAATTATTAAACCTCTTCTAGTTTATTATTAGCTCTTAGAGTCCCCCAATTTATATTTGATACTTGCAATTTATATCTCTAAAATTGCATTTCAAGGATATTAAGTGCTAGTATATTGAGGAGGATTTAGTGCAACTCAAGATATAGAAGAGGGAATTATATAAAATTTTCCCTATTTGTTATAATAATGCAATTTACAGATGGTTAATAGAGAAATGGGCAACCTTTCATGAATGAGTTCCTTATTGAAGGGGGGTTAAGAAGATAGTGGAATAATGAAAAGTTGACGACTTTTCATATTACTATAATGTTATGTTATATATTTATTTATTTGAATTGGTAAATAAATAACTTTTTACTCATATTATATTTGATAATTGTACATATTTAATAATTCATATAAATATTATATATTAATGTGATATCAATATATATTATAATTATCGTACATTAACTATTATACTCAAATAGTAGATTAATATTAGAAATTTAATAATTAATAGCAGAAAATTCATAATACTCTTAAAATAAAGTTGTAGTAGTAATCCATTCTATAAGCATCCTCAAGACCAACTAACTATATCATTTTCTAAATTGATCTTCCTGCACTTTCTATTTGTTCTTCATAATCCAATAATATTAATTTATTACCTTAGTGACCATAGAACGAAAATTAACCCTTTACACATATATAGTGAAAGCAATTACACTTATAATGCATTGTCATGGACAAAGCTTTCTTTATCTCGAGAATAAGCATAATGCATTAAGAGATTCAACCAAACTATACAAACAATTTAGCAGATTTATAAATATGCCTAGGAGTTGGAAACCAATTTACATGCTAAGACAAAAACATATACGAAGATGAAAGGGAGAAAAACCAATTAGTTTATCACTAAAATAGCTGTAGATTTTGATAAAATACAGGACCGCCTTCTTTGTCGCCTTCACCGGTTTTTTCTCTGCTCTCTAAATTATTACACCGATGCTTCCATTATCATCTCCTCATTCAATTTGATTGTACTCCACCAGTGAAGTTATCATTGACACACTCATACTTCTTGTGATTTTTAAATGCTGTAGTTGTGTCTTCTTACTTTTCAATATGAATAAATTTTGATTAAAAGTTAGAATTTTGGTTAGAGAATTTTGATAAGATTCTATAGTAATTTATAGTGATTTATGGAAGATGAATAGTTATAATGTTTTTCATTATTAGTGTGTAATGTCAAGACTTAGTGAGGGAATATTATAATAATAATTTATAGTGATTTATGGAAGATGAATAGTTATAACGTTTTTCATTATTAGTGTGTAATGTCAAGACTTAGTGGGGGAATGTTATTAGTGGGTGGTTAAATAAAAATTTGATGCTAATAAATAGGGAGGTTATGAAAAATTAAGTATGTATATATCTTAATGTATGCATGTATGGATGTACTAGAGATGTATGCATGTATGTGTTTCGGAGGGTATTTTTGGAAGAAATGTTTTAACATGGCAACACACTTTTATAATAGTATTATATATATATATATTAATGTATGCATGTATGGATGTGCTAGAGATGTATGCATGTATGTGTTTCGGAGGGTATTTTTGGAAGAAATGTTTTAACATGGCAACACACTTTTATAAGTATTAGATATTAGATTATTACATAATGAGTTTATATAAGAGAATGTACGTTGAACATACAAGTCGTCAGAAAGAAGAGTCATTAAAGTGAATGAAGTACTATAATCTAAAATACAACCAACAATTAAGCTTGTTACATAGACAAAGGAAACAAAATTATCAAGCATGTCACTACATGCAAAGATCAAGTCGAACAGAATGATTCTAAGAAATTTAACGATGCTTTTAGGAGATAAACAGAAGCCATAGAGTTAAAACCTTTAGACTTGCTAGAGAATGATTCCACATCTGAGCTTAATCCGAAGCCAGAACCACTTCCAAAACCGCCACTGTTGCTAGAAATACTCATGTCACTGAAACTACTTTCAATTCTTCTCGGACCTGACATAGCCATAAATCCTCCTTTATCTCCTCTGTTCTTCTCAATCTGCGACATTATGAAAAAAATCATAAACATAACATCATTCTGCAATGTATTTTTCAAGATAATGTTAAACGCTATTGAAATAAAAGGGAAATATGCAACAAATACACAACATAGATAACTATTAAAACATATGTAGAGCATTGGATATGACACGATTGTTGAAGACAAAATTAGCATAGATGCGTAAGAAGAAATTTTTAGTTAAAATTCAAATTGATTAACCAGAGATATATGCTTCATTGTTGGGGTTTCACATTGTATGTGCATGTCAAACATAAAGGTCTGTGCATAAATGATTAGGCAGTCTCAATTGATCAAGAGGATGCTCTCTAATTATCCACATCTCTTTCTCTAGCTCATCTATTTATGTGACTATATTGTGCTTGCAGAACTATGAAAATTAGTGGGTTAGCGATTCACTTGAACAACCTAGATAGCAAATGAAAAGATGAGTTATGCAACAAGGAACATGAAATGATGCTGGTGGAGGAAGAAGATGAAACAGCATCTTGTGATGGCCAGGCAGAAATAGATGATAAACCATGGAAACCAATTTAGTTTTTTCTTAGTAGAGAATTTAGTTACCAATATGGCCGAGAATGCCACCGAGCCACCTCAGGGTGGCTCGGCTTTGGCCGAGCCACCTTGAGGCGGCTCGGTTTTGGCCGAGCCCCTCTGGGTTTGCTGTTTTCCGTCGTTTTGCGCTGTATCCGTTTCTCAGTTCTGTCTGTGATTCGGTTGACTTAGATTCTGATTTTGTTGATCTGATTTGGCAGTAAATCCGCTTCTGATTTGGCAGTAAATCTGCTTCTGAGTTCGAGTCCGAAACTGATATTGATTCGATTGTGATTCGTCCGAGTTTGTCCTTGGTTGGATCACTCGTTGACTCTTCAACACTTGGCTTGATTCCGAACGATTCTACGCTTGAATGGATGTATTCCGTTGCTTGCGTGCGATTCGTCGATCTCGTCGCCTCGTTGGTTCGTCGGTTTGTGCCGAGCTGTATTAAGGGACCTATAAGCAATTTTATATGCCTACAGATACCCCCTCCAAAGTATTTCAGCCTCGTTCTTTTATAGAAGAGTCTGGAATACTTTGGATATGATTGTCCCAACCTTCAGTCAGTGTAATGGGACTTTGGAATGACTTCCGTTCTTGATTTCTTCAATCTTCCAGGCTATTCGGTGTTTTGTCGAATGTCTGTAAGAGTTCCGGTGCTGTATTTATTGTCTGACCGTTGTCGGAATTTTAAACTTGAAGTCGATTCCTGACTTTCTAATCTTTAGCTGACCATCGATTGTTGGCGTCGAGTCTTTATCTGCAACGCGTTGTCCGGCGTAGTGTTGTTGAGTTATCCTTAAGAATATTTTTAGAAAAATACTCTCCAGAAACTTCTCAACCAAAATTAGGGAACAGTTTATACTCATATACCCTATTGGAGTATTAAGAAGCAGTTTATACTCGTATACTTTTCGGAATATTGATTCTTTCATTGCAACGCATTGATCGGCATTGACCTAGGGTTACGCGTTGACTGGCGTTGGCCCTAGGGTTTCGAATGTCGTACGTTGACTGTTTGGTCGCAACGCGTTGACTGGCGTCGACCTAGAGTTACGCGTTGTCCGGTGTTAACCTTAGGGTTTTGAACATCGTACGTTGACTGTTTGATTGCAACGCGTTGACTGGCGTCGACCTAGGGTTACACGTTGTCCGGTGTTGACCCTAGGGTTTCGAATGTCGTTGGATACTCAAGTCACGAGACCAACTAATGAAGCTGATGCGTCAGTGACTCTCGTATTTATAGGATTTTTGGCAAACCCTCAGCCATCAACGGGTTTGATGAGCCTTTACCGACTACCGTTTGAGTCGGGCTAGCATGCGGATTATCTAAATCCGTTCCGCATGTGACGTTGTGCTAAGAGAGTTAACGCTCTTAGTGCTACGATATTGAATACGTAGACTTCGTCTTTCTCACGGGAATAGACTACCCGGCAACGCGTGTTAGGCGTTGACTTTGTTGTGCTAAGAGAGTTAACGCTCTTAGTGCTACGATATTGAATACGTAGACTTCGTCTTTCTCACGGGAATAGACTACCCGGCGACGCGTGTTAGGCGTTGACTTTAGGATTTTTGGCTAACCCTCAGCCTTTAACGGGTTTGATTAGCCTTTACCGACTACCGTTTGAGTCGGGCTAGCATGCGGATTGTCTAAATCCGTTCCGCATGTGACGTTGTGCTAAGAGAGTTAACGCTCTTAGTGCTACGATATTGAATACGTAGACTTCGTCTTTCTCACGGGAATAGACTACCCGGCAACGCGTGTTAGACATAGGCTTTGGGATTTTTGGCAAACCCCCAGCCATCAACGGGTTTGATGTGCCTTTACCGATTACCGTTTAAATCGGGCTAGCATGCGAATTGTCTAAATCCGTTCCGCATGTAACGTTATGCTGAGAGAGTGAATTCTCTTAGACTTTACTGACCCGGCGACGCGTGTTAGGCGTTGACTTTGGGATTTTTGGCTAACCCCCAGCCTTCAACGGATTTGATTAGCCTTTACCGACTACCGTTTGAGTCGGGCTAGCATGCGAATTTCCTAAATCCGTTCCGCATGTGACGTTGTGCTAAAGGAATGAACTCCCTTAGACTTGATGCTACGACTTCGAATACGTAGACTTTGCCATTGCTATGGGAATAGGCTACCCGGCAACGTGTTTTAGACGCTGACTTATCCCTACTTAGGCTTCGGGATAAAATGCCCCAGACTGGATTCTGGTGTCTTTTTCAATCGGTGAAAGACTAAACCGGCAACGCGTGTTAGGCGTTGACTTATCCCTACTTAGGATTCGGGATAAAATTCCCTGTACCTGTGAGGCACAGATTTTGAGAGTTGAAAAAGGTGGTGTCTTCTCTTGGGGCAAAGACGAACCCGAAATGGGAGAGGAAGAATTTTATATTCTATCTCTCGACACTGAAGAAGAAGAATTTTATATTCTATCTTCAGCTGGAAAGGAGACTCGAGGTGGGATCTCCATCCCCAGAATCCGGAAAAGATGAAACTAAGAGTGGGATCTCCACTCCGAGAATCGGAAAGGTTCAAACGGCCCTAACTTTTATAGGATTTGTCATTTGAATCAAAAGAATCCCTCATTCATTGAGGAGAACGCCCAAATTCGACCCTAACTTTTATAGGTTTGGTGGAAAAAGAACAAAAGCAGATTTTCGTTTATCGAAAAAGGCATGACTCGGTCTTAGTCCTAACTATCTGTAGGTTTGACTAAGTGAGATTGGGAACAACCCTAACTTTTATAGGTTTGATTTTCCGAAATGAAAGTAGACCTCTCGTTCATGGAAGGAATCGAGAGGGGACTTTGGTTGTGGCCCTAACTATAGGAAGGTTTGACCAGGTAGACAGTGAGAGTGGGAGTACAAATCATAATGGAGGTTTGGTGTTTATCACTTTGTTTGTAATTATCGGCCCGTTACATAAATCGTCCACCCCCAGCTTCCTCTGCGGAACTGGTTCGGATATTATTCTTAGTTACTTGACCGGGTTATCCTTAAGAATATTAGCGTAACATTCTCCAGGAACTTCCCATCAACAGTAGGAAACAATTTAGACTCATATACCTATTGGAGTATGTAGGGAGCAGTTTAACCTCATGCACCTGTTGGAGGATTGAGACGCAGTTTATACTCATATACTCTTCGGAGTGTATAGAAGCAGTTTATACTCGTATACTCTTTGGAGTTTTGCCGTTCTTATTTGGCTTATCTGAGCGATATGACGTCGGCTTCAACCAAGGTCTGAATGCTATTCTTGAGAGCAAAGCAAGCATTGGTGGGATGAAGGATCCTCCTGTGGTATGCACAGTACTTTGGGTCCGTAGTGTTGTCAGCTTCCTCCTGATTTGTGATAGGTGGTAGCTTGATCTTGTTACCTTCAAGGAGGGATTCGAAGATGGCTGGAACGTCTTCGTCCTTGAAGGAATACTCTCTTTGGAGTCTCGGACCCGAAGTCTTTCGCTGCCTTCGGGATTGCTGTTGTGACGCTTGATTAGCACCACCAGTAGCTGCAGGTGTTTTGCCCTTACCACGAGAGGCGAAGTTTGAGTCCAGAGGATTAGCCGTCGGTAGGTTCCTCTCGGCCTTCTTCCTTCGGAGGAAACGTTCGGCTTGTTCACCGCGCACCTTCAGATCCTTCCAAGTGTCAGACGGTGCTGTTCCCATTGCTTCCAACACGTCCAACGCAAGGTTGTTGTGGCAAGTTTGGAGGATGAATTCCTCTGTGATCGGGTCCCGGCAATTCATCGCCTTGTTCCGGAACCTTTTGACGAAGGTGTCGACTAACTCCCCGTCCTTCTGCTTCTCATCGAGCAATGATCCGATAGATATCTCGGTGTCGTCGTCGAAGAAGTTGGCCAGGAACTTGGTCTCCATGTCATCCCAGCTGTTCACGTTTCCTGGCTTGAGGCGGCGGTACCAATCGAAGGCGGCTCCGCGAAGAGTGCCGACGAATGACCGCACCATCAGAGGCTCATTGCCGGAAATAATACCCAGGTGCGATTTGAAATAAATCAAATGCTGAGTGGGGGAACCCTTCCCATCGAACGGCGTGAAGTTGATTAAACTGAACTTCGCCGGATAGGGGATCGATTCCCATTCTCGTGGGTATGGACAGGGAATGCCTGTTTTCTTCGTCTCTTGAGCGGAGATCAATGTGTTGATTTTGCTCTCGAGATCTTTGATCTTCAAGTCTTCACTTGTATCCTCGTTGGCATCCTCGTTACCACCCCCTGCATTGACGTCATGCATTTCTCTCATATTCTGCATGGCCATCTGCATTTTGAACCTGAAGCTCTCCTGTTGTTTAGCCATGGCTTCTTCGAGCATCTTGGCCACTTGTTCCGCGCTTATCATGAATGACTCGCGGGGTTGTCCTTCGCTGGACACCGTATTGTCTGATGCGACAGCAGAGCAGGAATCCGATTCTTCATCTT